CAGAAGGTGAGTCTGTTGAAACAGACCACGGGACGAGTGCCGTAACAGCTGTGTGAGAAGCTGACATGGATGACCAGCTAAATTGTGCCTAGAAGTGCTCCACCCAGCGTGCAAACTGTCGCTATTGATTGTGAATAAGCGAGCCGTCAGCTTTATAGATCTTTTCGCTCACATCTAAAGCTTTCTTACCGGTGACTCCAATGAGTTGGAACAGGTTACGAGAATTTTTCATTGCGGCAACAAGTTCCATCTCTGAGGCGCGTTCAGATCACCAAATTCCGCGACCTCTGCGTAGGCTTACGTTAAGTTCACATCTCGTCACAAGTCGGGCTACGTTATGCTCGTTGCCGGTCGGAAGTAATCAACGTGTGTCAAGAAGGCGCAGCGACTCAGCGGAAATCCAGGGTGTTACGACACGGCGTGTCAGACTACAACTAGGCCCGTCGAATACAGAGCATTCGTGATAAGAGACCAGTGCACACTGATTTTATCAGGTGGGGTTGATCCTAGTTTTTCAACTAGCGCATTCTGAAGGACAGTTAGGCTTGCTGACCTAACCGTCGCTGTGTCGTGTTTAGAACGCCCACCGAAGCACATGGACAGCTTGGTGCAAACTAGCGCGTGATCGGAATCGAGGGGAGCGATGGTACTGACACCATCATCGGCGCAACCCCAATGTTTGTGACTTATAGTGATGTGATCGATCTGCCTTTTTCGCTGACTCGAGGAAGGTGCATGCCTAGTACCGTACCCACAGTTGGATAGTCTGAAGTTCGTACTGGCGAGGAATAAGCGGTGGTCGGAACATAGAGCCCACAGTCAATCCCCGTTTTTCTAGCGACAGGAACTCCCAAATCCATCTCACTCGAAGTCAGCTGGCCCATTCTAGCATTAATATCCTGCTAAATGCACGATGTCAGTCCGATTCACTTTACAAAAGAGGGCTTGTAGCTTTTGGTTGAAAGCATCTTTGACTATATCTGGACTACTGTTTGTGGGTGTGTAAGCTGAGACAAACAAGTTGCGTCTTTCGAAGCGACGACCGCTCACTTTGCACGAGCCTCTAAGTCTCATAGTCTACTGTCGACTGGAATCCAATCCAGGATTGCGGTTTCAGCTTTCTCACTGAGAACCACGCCAACGCTAGCAAAACCAGAAGCCGCAGCCGCAGGGTCCCCAGAAATGCGTAAGTGGAACTTCGCGGATGGGTGCGATACGGACGTCAATCGGATAGCGGAGCTAGCGTTTTGAATGCGATTTTCTTGGACACAACACACATTGATGGCTAGGGTCTCGAGGATACCAGCTAACCATGCCTGTTGTCCCATACGCATCAGAGCCCGCACGTTCAAAGTGGTTAGGTTGAACGAGGATGAAGGGCTTCAACAGGTGAAGGATTTGATGAGGCTTGGATGCTATTCGAAGAAGGACTCGAGAGAATATGGCTGGGATCTCCATCTGAGATACGATTTTCAGTACGATGGTGTGAAAATCCTAAGAGCACTGAAAATGCTTAACGGGGGTGAATGAGGTGGAGAAAAAATTGGGATAGGAAGATGTGCATGGTGTAGAACGTTTTTCCCTGAGAAAAGAGAACTGGGGGAAGGAATTCTCGGACGAATGAAAGTTCACTTTTGGTTTTGTTTGCGTCATAAGGTGTGGCACCACTCGGCCGCTCGGCTCAAAGTAGGCTTTTTTCGATGGCGCACTCTAGCCTTTGTGTAATCAAGCGCGAGCTACGAGGCACCATTACTGCTTCAGGTGAGCCAAGAACCGGTCAGCTGATTTATTCGCCTTTTCTGAAAAAACTTGTCGAGTAGATGGAACTCGACAAACGGGAAATGGCCGTATTCAATGGCGGGCCACACTCGCCACGTCACGGCGCTCTTATAAGATAAATAATGTTTTGTGTGGGGAACCCTTGTCAAGTGGTAGACCCACTACATCCTCCAGCACTCTCGCTGACCGTCCAAGACCGCTCATTCAGTGAGAATAAACCCACTTTATTCACGCTTAACAGAGAGTTAGCGGCCGTTCTCCTATCCGTGACCTGGGGACGCGCTCAATAGTATACACCTCTGCTCTTGCTGGATTGTTAGGAGGAAAACTCTGTAATGGGGGAAGGATAGTACATATACGTACTGATTCAATCAACTAGAGTGGGTTCAGCAAAAAGTCTAAACATAGTCCGTCGCTGTACTGAAGAAACTGCAAGGCGTATCTAGACGTGGATAGTCGGTTGGTTCATTGTACGCAATGGACCCTACGGTTTTGAACTCTAGCTTTGGTTACGGTCTATTATGAAGTCGACAAATGAAAGAATGATTAGATATGAGTAAGAATTACAGAGGTTACTTCATATCGCTGGTAAAATGAGAAAATCAAATTAACGGAACAAACAGGATTATCGACAGCTGAATCACAGGAACCAATGTGAAGATATGGTTCTTGCATTCTTAGAGGTAATGTACTGCGTAAACCGAAAGTATAATTTATGCGCGCAACGACAAGTTCTATAAACTTACAGGCATCAGGTGTGGTACTGGGAGTCATAGGGATACCTGTGCCAAAACCTCGAGGATCTCTAGGAGCAGGCGGATCTTGGTATGGCAGAGGAGTTTCACCTCCGGTAGTACCTCGAACAGTACGACCTGGAGTCTGCACTCCAGCCGCATTGTCCGCGGCCGAACTAGGATTTGCGCCACCGGTAACCATGGATGCTAACGCCTTCCCATGGTAAGTAGCCATTGTGTCGATGCGAAAACCTGCGGTCTCTTCACGACCGCTGGCAAATCGTTCCTGATCGTACCGCGAGTAGTGCATCTGCGGGTGGTGATGCGGTGGCATCACAGAATTAGTAACTGACATGCCTGGCTGCCCGGTACTAATAGCCATTGCAGAGCCTGTATTTGTGTAATTACTGGCGCCCAGTGCAGGTTTTGCATAAGAGGCGCCCACAGCCAGCGGTTGCGGGAATCCACCTGTGGCAGCTGTAGCAGCACCTGGAACGTAGCCCATCCTGTTGGCCATTCGTTGATCTGTATTGCCAGCATCTTCTTTTAACTAAAAAAAATAATCAGGAAAGGTAAAAAAAATTCGAATAAGCGATACAAAGATGATGCACGTAAAGTTGTCAGGTTCCTCAAACTACACTAAACTGTACTATGATGTGCCCCGGGATTGGAGTGACCAGCCACATAAGGCCCCGATAAGTAAGGCACGGTATTAAACCGGACG